GCACTCTGTACTCACTTTGATTATATACCAAAGCTTTCTTATAATCTCCCCACCACACACACACACACACACACACACACACACACACACACACACGCTTCAGCATGGAGTGTCCATTTGCTTCTGGAAATCCACTCCAGGGTGAGAACTCCCTCAGCAAGTGACGCTCCCACGCCCTGTCTACCTTCAGCTTGTCCTTGGCTGCAATCTGCTCCATGTAGGAATTTTCCACCCACACCACCCCCACCTGCCCCTGTGCAATGTAATGTCATGCAGAAGACTCAAAGGAAAAGGTAAAAGGATTAGCAGATTGATCGATGGAAGATATTAATGCCCTTTCATGTCGGGTCAAGGAAGGACTTGATTTCATCAAGAGAGAGGGTAGCAGGAGAATAGATCGCAAGTATTCCAAAGAGTCTCTGGATTAAAATCCTATTAAACCCACATTGGCTGCTTCTCCGGGAGGCATTTGAGAAGGTTGGGATTTCTTTAACATGTCACCATAATTAACCTTCCCTTAAGCTGTTTTGGGTGGGGGACTTTAGCAATTAAGAAACTGAAAACTTTCATTTTCTATCACCCATGCGGCCTTTTGAACGGTTTAAAGATGAGAATGGAATCGTTATGCCTCATTGATTGGAGGGGTCCAGCTCTCCCGCTTCAACCTGCTGTCAGACCTGCCTGGGGAGCTGAGCACCTCAAGATAAAGGGCATTTTGTCCAGAGAAAGAATCAAAGGCTCAGCTCTACCGCGATGCTTTTCTTCCTCTAATCGTTCTCCCGCGGAGTCCCAGGGAAAGAGCAACCCACCCCCAGTAGAAGATCCATCCCTGGACCAGACTCCCCTTCACAAAATATACCCGGAAACCCAATGGGCCCCTCCTCCCCACAGCTGGAAGGTCAGCCAGGCGCATGCCATCAGCAGTGGTTCACTTACACGCAACTTAAGGTCTCAGTTCTGTTGCACCTGGGTAACACATTCGGCTGCCAGCCAGAGCCTAAAGGTCCAAGTCTTCCAGGTGTGCTGGTGCATGTCCTTCCAACCTTGGACAAAGGCCTGGTGGCTGAGTTCCCAAAACAAACCCAGTCCTCCAAAACTACAGGATAAACATCACTAATAGAACTGAACTGCGCTTGTGAAGAGTGCTGGAAAGGCCAATGATTCATTTAATATACATATAAATATATTTAATTAAATTAATATATAAATATATAATTAATATTGCATTACAAATCCTTAATATACATCATTAAATGCATATATTTAATTCTGCTCTGACACAGGCGGGGAGTCATGATGAGTCAGCATCCTCTCAGACATAACTGGTAAAAGAAGATCAGCAAAACAGCTACAGACGGAGGCAACCATTACGGGATGAGATGAGAATCACCCGGACAAAACCCGGGTGGGGAAACATGTACTTTTTAAAGGGCAGCCTTCACAGGTTTTCCAACTGTAGTTAAAACCCCAGCTCAGCTTCAGGGACAAAAGCGCTACCACTCTGAGCACAGAGGTGAGGGACCCTGCCAAGAAACCAAGGCAGGCCACACTGGGCCTCTTCAGGATGCTGTGTACCCTCTGAGTGAAGCATAGCCCCCTTTGTTTTTTTAAACCCCCCCATTCACTGAGTCCTTGCAAGTAAATGGTGAACAGTGGCACGGGCACCAAGTCCTTCAGCCTGGCTTCAGGGGGCCCCTCTCCCTTGCCAGACCCTGGGCTCTTTAAACCCAGGCTGTTTTCACCCTCTCTCCCCAAAGCTCCTACCACAGTGCCTGGAACACAGCATGCGCACACTGTCTGGAAGCTGCACACCAGCCAACCACACTGTGCCTCGAGGCAAATCATAGTCTTGGTTCATCTCATGAAAACTCCCAGGGGACCACACAACTTCTGAGGAAATTTTTCCAATCTCAGACTCTATGCAAAAGTAGGTGTGTGGCTTGTGGGGGGATCCCTATGCTCACACCAAAGTGCCCGGGAAGGTGGTGCAGTTTGCCCTAAAGGTTGGTAGTTCAAACCCGTCTTTGGCACCATGGAAGAAGCGTTGGCTTCATACTGATTTCAGACAAGAAACCCCATGCTGCAGTTCCACTCTGTGCCAACACGGGGGCCTCATGAGCTGGACCTGCTGGTTCTTGGTTTGAGCTGTATATGTTTGCGGGCACTCAGACCATTATAAACCAGAGTGCTCCTTAGAGCACATACTTTGGACATGTTGTCAGGAGAGACCGGTCCTTGGAGAAGGACACCATGCTTGCTACAGTACAGGGGTTGCAAAGAAGAGGAAGGTGCTCAACAAGATGGATGGCTACAGTGGCTGCAAAAAGGACCTCAAATATCACGCCATTGGTGAGGATGGCGCAGGACCCAATAGGGTTTCCTTCGCTTGTGTGTTGGGTCACTAAGCACCAACTCGAGGGCCCTTAACCAGAACAACATACCACTGTTTATAACAATGAGAATCCAAGGTAAGCGTAGAGCACATCCTTTCAATCTTTAAAACATGCTCTGTACTGAACTCGGTGGTTTACTTGTGCGCTTTCATCTGTCCTGTAGGGTGGAGACTTTTGTTACTTCCTGTTGCATACAGTGGCAGACTTAGAGAGCCAGAAAATTGCCCTGAAGTGTGCCCCGTGTGGAGCGTTCCGGTTCAGGGGTCTGAGCTTGACCACAGCTCCCTGAGGAATCTCCCTGCACACCCTCCAGCCCTTCAGCCAATCTGTATACACCTTCCAAGGCTCCCCAAGATACTGCCTGCCTGACAGCCCATTGCTTTGAATTCCCGGCCCCCAGGCCCCCGCCCGCCCAGTTCCACCTGCTCCAACCACAGGCAGAGCTGCCCCGGGATCTGACTAGCCCTTTGTCCTGGAGGCCATGTCGCTCCTGTTGGGAGCAGGTGGCCGGAAAAGCAGGCGAGGGCAGTCATCAGGGAAGCAGCTTGGGAGGCTGATGGGGAAAAACAGGGAAACTGGGCTGGGCATGGCATTCCCAGGCCTCACTCCCCAGGGACCAGAGCCCATCTGCACAGCTGGCCCTTCACCTTCAGCTCGGGCAGAATCCTGGGCTGGACTTCCTTGCCTTGGGGACAGGAAGCCAAAGGCAGGACAGGAGCAGTCCCCACCCTAGGCCTGGAAGCTACCTTTCGGATAGTGTTTCAGGGGTCTGCTTCACAAGGTGGCACCTGTCTCCATTTAAAGCACCTCTCCTATTCATGTGCTCTGTTTAGCGACAGAAACTGACGTCCTCTTGCCCTACAGCCTTCAACCTTTTTAAAAGAAATATTTGACTTTAACATGGAAATACTAACGATTGGGTTATTTAGAGTAAAAAAATAGTTTGTCTGAATATGTTTCAGTCCTAAAAGAGCAGCCACCTGTTCTTCTATATCCTTCTCAGGGTGACCGCAATGATGACAACAACGGCATGCTGTCAATTCAGCCCATGCCATGCACCAAGGAACCCTGGTGGTATCGTAAGGCCAGCAGTTTGAAACCACCAGCCTCTCCAGGGAATAAAGATGAGGCTTTCTGCTCCATAAAGATTCCACAGCTTCAGAAGGGCAAAGGGGCAGTTCTCTGTCCTATAGAGTCACTATGAGGAGGATTCTACTTGATGGCAGTGGGTTTGGTATGAATTCTCTGGGGTCCCTTGGGTGGTGTACGTAGTTTAGTACCTGGATGCTAACTGAAAAGCTGTCCCTTTGAATCTACCCAGAGGTGCCTCCGAAGAAAGGCATGGTAACCTGCTCCAGAAATCCACAGCCACGGAAACCAGCGGAGCATTTCTAGTTTTTATCTATGGGGTTGCCACGAGTGGAGACCAACTCAAGGTCAATTTCTAGTCTTACAACTGACCATAACATGTTAAGTACTGTTCTGGGTGCCTTCCTTACATCTTCTTGCTTAACCTTCCAATAGTCTTCCAGGGTTGGTATTCATTTGGGCCATTATTAAAATATATATATTTAATTTTATAATTTAAAATTTTTATATAATTTTACTGCGGGCGCTTGCAGTTCTTATACCAATCCATACATCAATTGTCTCAAGTGCCTATGTTACCATCATTTTCAAAACATTTTCTTTCTACTTGAGCCCTTGGTATCAGCTCCTCTTTTTCCCCCTCCCTCCTCTACCCTCTCACCCTCGTGAACCCTTGATAAATTATCAATTATTATTATTTCCATATCGTACACCATCCGCTGTCTCCCTTCACCCATGTTTCTGTTGTTCATCCCCCTGGGGTGGAGCAGTTATATGTAGATTATTGCAACTGGTTCCCCCTTTCTCCTCCTCCCTCCACCTTCCCGCAAACCTCATGGTATCACTACTCCTATTACTGTTCCTGAGGGGTTTATGTGTCCTGGACTCCATATGTCGAGAGCCCTGATCTGTACATGGGGCCACTATTTTATGAAAAAATGACAGGGTCCTTGTGTCAGTAAGCTCCTCTAATTCTCACCTGTATCTTTCTTCTTGTCCCGGGAAAGCTCATGGACAGTGGCACCGATGTCGTGCCTCAGGATCTTGATGATGTTGGCCAGAGCAGGGATGCTGCGTTTATCCAGAAAAGTGAAAAATTCATATTCGTCTTTCTTTGACCGCGAAGGTCTGGATTCGATGTGGGTGAGATTGACATCATTCTCCTGGAAGGAAACATTGGGAGCGTAAGTGGGATAGCCACCAGGGTGGTCAGGAGGAATCACAGAGGGGAGAAGTCGTGAAAGGAGAAAGCCAGAGGGAAGCTCACTGAAAATGAAATGTAGAGATTGAAAAGGCAGGCTCGTTCTAAGAGTCAAAGCAAATACTTGTGGTGGCAAAGGGGGTCTACATTCTCTCCTGCAAAGCTAAGAGACAAAGGCAAGAGGTGAGAGACAGAGTTCAAACATCCTTTTCCCAAACGAAATGTCATGGAGCCAATCAAGTCGACAGAAGCACGACTGGAACTCTTTGAATGGGCCCGCGGAAGTCAGCTTTCCTGGATTTAAATCGAAACTCTAAGAGGCACGGACTGTGAGACCTGAAAACAACCTGCTCTGATGTTTCTAACCCTCAGTTCCCTCTCTCTGCTTTGAAGGTCTTACTGATTCCTCCTCTGAAAACTTGCGGGGCACATTGGAAGAGATGATATGAACACCCTGGCTGGCACACGCACAGAGTAAATGCTCAGTAAAAATAACCTAGTGTGTTGTTGTTGTTGTTGCTGTTGTTGTTAAGTGTCATTGAGTCAAATCCAACCCGCAGCAAACCTACATGCCATCCTTACAATGGTCCTTCTGTTTGAGCCATTGTTCCAGCCACTGTGCGATCTAATGCACTCATCCTTAGGAGTTTTTTGGGTTTTTTTAAAACATTTTATTAGGGGCTCATACAACTGTTATTGCAATCCATACACACATCAATTGTGTAAAGCGCATTTGTACATCATTCTCAAAAACATTTTCTCTCCACTAAACCCCCGGCCTTTGGTTCCTCATTTTTCCCCTCCCTCCCCCCTCCCCCCTCCCTCATGAGCCCTTGATAGTTTATAAATTGGTATTTTGTCATATCTTGCCCTGTTATTTAGTAAGTTAACTAACACATATACATGCAGCACTCATCGTGCACCAGTCATTGTCCGGCACTTGGGATGCACAGACCAAGATGCTTACACTCAAGTGTGAGAGGGCTAGTGACAAATACAATCAATAACTCTCATATATCTTACAGTAAAGACTCCTTGGAAGACACAGTTGGTGAAACACTCCACTAGCAGGTGAAAGGTTGGCGGTTCAAATCCATCTAGAGGAAGGAAGCTCGGAAGACAAGCCTGGCAATCTGTTTCCCATGGGCTCCCCCTTGAAGACCCTAAGGGATGGCTCCAGTCTGCGCCCACAGGTTTGCCAGGAGTCGGAAACGACTCAACGGCAATGAAGGACCCAAACAGGGATGTACACTAATGAATAATCAGTGCAGGGCTGGGTGGGGGCTCTGCGGTGGGAGCAAGCTGAGGTGTTAGACAAGGCAGTCACATGAGGGTTCATTGGGAAGATGAAGGCAATGTATCGGCCAAATGCGTGGCTGGAGCTTCAGGTGATTAATGGAAGGGACAGCAATGAGGCCAGGATGGTCAGGATGGAGAAGGTGAGGCAGGAGCGGTGGGAGACAAGATCAGAGGTGTCCCAAGGTGGAGGTAAGGCAGGGAATCATGGCAGATGTTGGGGAAATGTAGCTGGAAAACCAAATCTACTTCCCACACAGAAAACCTCACCACAAAAAACAGAAAGGAAAGAAAGCTTTGTTACAGGATGAGCATGAAACCAGATGAGAAGCCTCGCAGGCCAAAGCAGTCGCACCCTTTATGCTGTTGTTAGTAAGTGTCATCAAGGAGGTTCGGGCTCTTAGTGACCCTTGTACAGCAGAAGGAAACACTGGCTGGCCCTGGTCATCCTCACCATTGTGCTTATGTTTGAGCGTATTGATGCAGCCGCTGTGTCAATCCATCCTGTCAAACGTCTTCCTCTTTTTCACTGCCCCTTACTTTACCAAGCATGATGTCCTTCTCCAGGGACTGGTCTCTCCTGAAAGCACCCTTTATACGACCAAGTAAATGCAGCAAACCCGCTGCCATGAAGTGGATTCTGACTCAGGGCCACCCTCCATGGGGTTTCCACAACGGTGCATCTTTACAGGAGCAGACAGCCTCATCGGCCTCCTTTTGAGCAGTTGCTGAGTTTGAATGGTAAACAATCGCCAACAACAACGACACCTCACTTCAGAAGAGTCCATTGCAGTGCAGAATGACCCTGGAGCACAGCGCAGAGCTGCTCCATCAGGTTTCCAAGGCTGCAAGTCTTTAGGGAAGCAAAATGCTTCATCCTACTCCTGGGAAGTGGCTGGGGAATTCCAAGTGCTGGCCTTTCAGTCAGTAGCTGGGTACTTAACCCCTGCAGGGTGGGCTCCTTTATGCAAAACGGTGACTCATTCTTACTTAAATAGTCCTTGATAGTGGCTAAGTGTTCAACTGTTAGCTCTAAGGTTGTCCCTGAGAACCCATACAAAGGCACCTAGAAGGAAAGGCCTGGTAATCTACCCTGAGAATCCTATGGGACAGCTCTGTTCTGCACTCATGGGGTCACCCTGAGCCAGATCCCTTGATGACAAATAACAAGAACAAGGGCTGCCCTCAAATTAGGGCGCCCGATGGCTTCATCTGTTCGTTCTATTTTTCCATGAACTTTTAGAAGCCCCTCATGCCAGAAAGCTACTTACCTATGCTTTATTGCCTTTTAAATGATCTGACTCCGGATCAAAACAAATTATGGATAGTGTTGCAAAGAACAGGGATGCCAGAATTCTTCACTGGGCATGTGCAGGGCCCGTTTATAGAAGAGATGATTGTTGCAACACCCAGAGGAAACATCGTGCTTTAACATCAAGAATACGTGCATCGGGGTGGTATCCTCTGACCACGCTTACAGCACATGTATAGTGAACTAATTCAGGAACTTGACGATGTGAACAAGAAGACAGTGTCCGGATTGGAGGAAGGATCGTCACAACCCATGCAGATGATACAACTTTGCTGAATGCAAAGAGGATTTGAAACACTGATGAAGATCCAAGATTAGAGCCTTCAGTCTAAAAGATTACCCGTCTAAGATAAAGAAAACTCATAGCCTCACAACTAGACCAATAAGCAATATCATGATGAAAGAAGAAAAGATTAAAGTTGTCACAGAAGTAAATATACTTGAATCCACAATCAACACCCATGGAAGCAGCAGTGGAGGAATGTCTTTGTCGTCTCGGGCCAGTCTGGGGCAAAAGACCTCTTTCAAGTGTTAAAATGCACAGGTGTCACTTTGAGGACTGAGGTGCCCCTGAGCCAACCCAAGGCATTGTCCAATGCATGCAAATGCCCAAAGAAGAGCTGATGCCTTCCAATTGGGGTGTCCCTAAATAATATGAAATATATCACAGGCTGCCAGAAAGACCAACAAATCTGTGTTGGAGGGAGTCCAGGCAGTGTGTGGACAGCCTCAGAAACACGGACACACTGTGGGCACGTGATTTAAAGAGAACGGTACCTGGAGAAGGCCATCATGCTTGGTAAAGCAGAATGTCAACCCATAAAATGGATGGTCCGCTGCACACGATGAGCTGCCACAAGGGGCCGCAACATAGCAACAATTGTGAGGATGGCACGGACCCGGGGAGTGTTCCCTTCCATTGGCCTTGGGGTGGCTATGAGCCAGTATGAACTGGAGCTACCTCTGCATTAAAACCTCTAGGTATTGGGTGCTGACGAAGAACATGGAAGGTACCATGGATTTGCCAAAAGAACAAATCAATCTGTCTTGGAAAAAGTACAGCCAGAATGCTTCTTAGAAGCCAGGATGACAAGGTTTCATCTCACATACTTGACAAGAGAGACAAGTCCTTGGACAAGGATAGCATGCTTGGTAGAGCAGAATGGCCCTGTGGGTTTCTGAGACTTTAACTCTTTACAGAGTAGAAAGTCTCATCTTTCTGTGGTGGAGCAGCTGGTGGTCTCGAACTGCTGACTTTGTGGTTAGTAGTTCAACTTGTAACTGCTACATCACCAGGGCATCAGACAACCACCACCAGTTAGAGTAAACTCAGTAATTACGTTGCCATCTAGTCAATTCTGACTCACAGAACTTCCAACCACTGCTTTTCCGAGACTGTGACTTTAACAGAAGCTCACTGCCAGATCTCTCTCACGTGGAGCTGCAGTGGGTTTGCTGGTCACTTTTTGTTCAGCAGCTGAGGGTTTATCCACTACACCTCCAGAGATCTTTCAAGCAGCAAACAACCCAAACAGGCTTCCTTCCTGCTGGCTCTCCCAGATCAACCCTAAGTGTGCACGAGGCAGTTATTGCTTCTGGACTTTGCAACAGAGAACACAACCATTGGGGCTGCAGCTAGGTGATTCAGCAGCAAGGTCCTGCCTAGAGAGAACCTGCAGAGGAGGGAAGGCAGCTTCTCTGGCAAACAGAGGTTGTTCCCTTAACCGAGCAAAGAGCAGTGTCATCCTTCCTGGCTCAGGAAGAAAGGGAGGGGATAGATTTCACCTGCTATTTACCCAAGTCAGAACTTCAAAAGTATGACATAACCATTCCCTGATTTGTATAGAACAGGGGGCACAGAGAATGAACGTCCCTCTTCAGTGTTTATTTTTGGAAGAGTTTGGAAAGGTGAGTGGGGTGGAGGAAGTGCTGGGAAGCAAACTATTGGCTGTCAGTGCTCCCCACCCACACTCCACCCCTTGAATAGCCTCTTTCAGAGAGAAGCGTCACACTTGGGAAACTGGCACAAAGTCATTTGTGCCCCAGAATCCAGCCTTTAAATTGTAGACATCTAACTGGAGTGGGGTGGGGTATGGGGGGGAGGCGGGGCACAAATGGTTCAACTAACTGAAGGTTGGAGGGTTGGAGGTTCAAGGGCATCCATCTGGATGCACCTTGAAAGGAAGACGTGGTGATCTACTCCCCATCCCTTCTCCCACCAAAAGTCAGCCATCAAGAATCCGATGGAGTACAGTTCTACTTTGATCCACATTTCACCATGAGTCGGCATCAACTGAATGGCAAATGGTGACTTGGGGAAATGTGCCAAGTCTTTCATCACATTTTGCAAGTGG